GCAAGTCAGTACTGACTGTTGGTTCCTGTCCACATGGGGGCCTCCCTACTGAGAGGCTTGTGCTTCCTCACTGCATCGTGGCTGGGTTTTAATAGAAAGAGACAGAGGAAGTGGAAACTGTGTTTCCTAAAGCCTTGGCTCAGAAATTGGCCCAGTAATACCCCCGCTGTATGCTTTTGGTTGCAAAGCTACAGAACTCAGATTTAAGGGAAAGAGACACAGACTTCACCTCCTAATGGAAAGTGTGTCAAATAATTCTGGGGCTGTGTTTTGAAACCACAAACATGGTATTATTTGATTCAGCATTTCTCTTTTCATGAGTGCAGATGAGTATCCTCTTATAAATCTAAAGGCCAAAGACAGTATTGCCTGTGCTGTACTGTCTGTTCATATTCTTTGCCTATTTTTTTCTATGTGTTTAACAGACATCATTATTTATTTAGTTAGTTAGTTATTTGACAAAGTCTGGCTCTGTCGCCCAGGCTGGAGTGCAGTGGCACAATCTTGGCTCACTGCAAGCTCCACCTCCCGGGTTCAAGCGATCCTGCCACCTCAGCCTCCTGAGTAGCTGGGATTACAGGTGCGCACCACCGTGCCTGGCTCATTTTTGTATTTTTTGTAGAGACAGGGTTTCACCATGTTGCCCAGGCTGGTCTCGAACTCCTGGGCTCAAACATTCAGCCCACCTCCTTGACCTCCCAAAGTGCTGGGATTATGGGCATGAGCCTTTTTTAAGTTGGTGCAAAAGTAAACTTAAATATTAGGTAGGTGAAAAAAAAATGTAATTGCAGTTTTTGCCATTACTAATATGGCAAAAAGCACTACTTTTGCATCAACCTAATATTTATTTGAAGAAGATGCTTATGTAAGAGGGAGGTGAGCCTTTTCTTTGTGATATGAGTACAAATAATGTTTCCCAGTTTTTCATTTGTCTGTCCTTTGAATTGGCTTATCATATGTTTACCTCCATGCAGAAATTTTTGTTTTGACTTGTTTTAATGTACTTGAATTTTACAATCTTTTCTAAAATAGTTTATGGCTTTGAGTCTATAATTAGAAAGATCTTCCTCCTCTACAAGAATTTACTCATGTTTTTGCTGTTTGATTTTTTTACATTTAAAATATTAACCCATTAAGAGTAATTTATATTGATGTATGCATAAGGTATTTTTATTTTTCAAAATGAACTTGACTATTACCTCCACTTCATCACCCTATTAAAAAAAAATTAAGAATGCTTCTTAAGTTATTCCATAAAATATGATGCTGGCTCAGTGCTCTTTTCAGCATTGTTAATGCTGATTAGTTGCTTTTTCTCTTTGGATCCATCAAGTAATGAATTACAGTTCATAATATTATCTTACATTTCTAAAATAAACCCCACCTTTTGTAATGACTTATTCTTTTAAGAACTACTGAGCTTTATTTGCTAGTATTTTCCGATTTTTGTACTTTATTGATAAATGAGATTAGTCTCCATATTCTCCTTTTGGTGTGATCTTTGTAATTTCCTTGTTATCAATGTTATACTTCCTTCATAAAATGTACCTAAAGACTTTTCTTTTTTTTTAATGATCTGAAACAACTTAAGTAATGTTGGAATTTTGTGGTCTCTAAATGTTTTGTAGAATTCTCCAGGGAAACTATTTGAAGAAACAAAAGCAACTTTTTGACTTATTTGATTTCCTTTTTAGAACATCTACCTAGATTTTCTATCATCTGGATGAATACATCATATTTTTCTAGAGCATTATTTCTTTCATCCAGGTTTTCACAATTATTTTTGTAAAGTTAAACCAAAAAAAAACCTCTTGTGATTCTTTTTATTTCCTTTTTTTTTGTATGAATGTACCTTAATATCTGTAGTCTGAGAATTTTATAAGTTCATTTGCATGACCTGCAATGTTAAACTATTTGTTTTTATTTCCCATTTTAGAAAGAAAAATTTCCATTGTAATATTAAACTCTTGGGTTTTATTTAATTATTGCCACAAAACTCTGTACAATAGATTTATTTAGGCAAAAATTCTGTCCTCTTATGAATATTAAAGTCTACTTTAACCAGATTTATATGAAATTCTTTCCTAGAAGGACATTTTGGTGATTATGTACTGAGTATTTTAACTGTTCAAATAAGACACAAGCCCCTGACCATCCCTCCCTGCAGGTGCATAAGACATAACACCTGCTATAAACAACACCTTAAGAAAGCTTAAAGGTTTTCATTTAATTTCAGAGACCACACCAATGAAAGTCCATGAATTCAATCAACCTGCAAGTTATTTACTTGAATGGAGAGTATTGGTACATAATTAAACATTCCATGGAACTTGGGATTCTGTATTAATCACTCAGATTTATAATTCTGTGTTTACCTCATATACTTCAGTAAACACATTCTTTGTATCTCCGTGAGGCTTGTATTTCTTAGAGACAGTAATAACCTAATTCATTTACTTGAAATGTTTATTTTCATTTACATAGGAAAGAAAGAATATGTTTCCCTACTTCAAGAACATAGAGGCAGCACAAACTATTGCTTTCTTCTTGAGTCTTATAAAGTTTAGCTATTTGTTTTCAAAAATGTTGTGACTGATGAGAAAACTGGACTCAGAGAAGCATAGTGGCTTTCTCTGGGGCACATGGTTATTAACGGCTGAACTGAACCTAGAGTTGAAGTTTCTTAATTCCTTCCCCCTCAGATCTTACAGCTCAGTAGTGGAGACAAATACATCAAGGGAATCTGTCATCATCCTTCATGACAAGATGAAAAAGGAGAACATGATCACTTTCAGACTGTGAAATTCTGAAGACCTTGCAAGGCAGGTTAGATCTGAGCAGAGTTTTGAAGCTGGGCAGTCTTTGGTAGGAGAATGGAGGACACCCTGCCAGACGGGACCAGCAGAGCAAAGACCTGGGTTTCCCAGGGAAAATCCAGGAACAAACCCAGGACTCAACCAGGAGCAAGATAGCAGGTATGGTGGCAGTAAGGGGTATGTACCTGGAGTAGGGGGAAAAAAAAGAGGGAAAGAGGTTGAAGAAAGATCATGGAGAGCTCTGAGTTATAGGATGAAGAAATGAAATTTATCTCTCGGTAATGGGAAGTTTTAGGAATGCTCCTCGTGGGAGAGGAGCTGGAGGAATGGGTCTCAGTGAGTGGCAGGAGACTTACTGTATACACTTTGTACTACTTGAAGTACTTCCATGTGTATTTATTACTTTGTAAAGAGACAAAAAATAAAAATAAGTCGTTAAAACCACAACAATGAAAAATTTATCTGAGCAGGAAATTGCCACAAAGGAAAAAGGTCAGAATCCGGTGTTGATCAATGCCAGCAAACTCCATGAAGCAATTCACCTCTAAGACACTCTGGGGGCCGGGCACAGTTGCTCACGCCTGTAATCCCAGCACTTTGGGAGACCAAGACGGGCGGATCACGAGGTCAGGAGATGGAGACCATCTTGGCTAACACGGTGAAACCCCGTCTCTACTAAAAATACAAAATATTAGCCGGGCATGGTGGCGGGCGTCTATGGTCCCAGCTACTCGGGAGGCTGAGGCAGGAGAATGGCGGGAACCCGGGAGGCGGAGCTGGCAGTGAGCTGAGATCCGGCCACTGCACTCCAGCCTGGGCGACAGAGCGAGACTCCGTCTCAAAAATAAAAATAAAAATAAAAATAAAAATAAAAAAGACACTCTGGGTTGTTTTCTCTCTTGGGTAAGAGACAAATGGAAGAGGAAGAAAGTGAGCTCAGGAGAAACGTTGTCTCCGAGACCTGAAACAATCAATATGCTTTGATAATTTTCCTATCAGGCAATAATTTAAGCTCCAGAGAGAGAGAGAGGTTCAAAAATCTACGGTACGCCGTAACCCTATTAATAAATCATAAAGATAAAAAACAGCCTGTTAGAACAGGGTCACAAAGAACAAGTACAAGTTTAGAGAACATTAAATGAACCCATCTCCCGAGTATGCTGTTTCTTATATTTTTGTGTGTAAAGTCAGTGAGTCAGCAAGTTATTCATTTTTGTTTGAAAAGCAGCTTAAGAGCATAGCTAGTTCAGAGATCAGAAACCAAGGAATCCTGGACGAGAAGTATCCTGCAGCTTAGGGGCCTTTACCCAAAGTAACCAGAAAAGCTCTGAATCTGAAATGCTTACAATGAAACATGCCCCCACGAAATCCAGCTAATAACAGAGATGTGGTTTCATTACTGTGATTTTAATTTGTCTGTAATGGACACAGTCAAGGAAACAGTCAACACAGTAGAGAGACAACCTATGGGATGGGAGAAAACATTTGCAAACCATACATCTGATGAGGGTTCAAAATCTCTAAGGAACGCAAACAACTCAATAGTTAGAAAACAAATAACCCAATTCAAAAATGGGAAACATATCTGAATAAACATTTCTCAAAAGAAGTCACACAAATGGCCAACAGGCATATGAAAAATGCCCAATGTCACTAATCATCAGAGAAAGCAAATTAAAGCCACAATGAGATATCACCTCACACCTGTTAGAATAACTATTATCAAAAAGACAAAAGATAAATTTTGGTGAGGATGTGGAAAAAAGGGAATTCTTGTACATTGTTAGTGTGAATGTCAGTGCTATAATTATGGGAAATAGCAAAAAGGTTCCTCAAAAAATTAAAAATAGAACCACCATATGATCCAGCAATCCTACTTCTGGGTACATGTACAAAGGAAATGAAATCAGTGTGTCAAAGAGATAGCTACACTCCCCTGTTCATTACAGCATTATTCACAATAGCCAAGATATGGACTCAAACTAAGTATACATCAGCATAGGAATGGATAAAGAAAATATGGTATATATGCACAATGGAGTACTACTTAACCCTGAAAAAAAACAAAAATGTTGTCATTTGTGACAACATAGATAAATCTAGGAGATATTAAGTGAAATAAACAGAAAAATACAGTGAAGGTACAGAAAAATACTGCATGTTCTCACTTATACTTGGAATCTAAAAATGTTGAACTCATACAAGTAAGGAGTAAAATGGTAGTTACCAGGGAACTGTAGTCGAGGAGGGAGTTGAGATGTTGGTCAAGGGACACAAAGTTTAAGTTAGATAGTAGGAATAAGTTCAATAGATCTATCGTAAAACATGGTGGCTATAGTTAATACCAATATATTATAGTCTTGAAAATTGCTAAGAAATGTTAAGTATTCTCACTCCCTAAAAATTAAGTATGTTAATTAGCTCAATTCAGCCATTTTACAATGTATACGTATTCCAAAAGGATGTGTTGTATGTGATCAGTAAAGATCATTTTTACTTGCCAATTAAAATTGTTTTTCATTTTAAAAAAACAGAGATTTGGTTTTATGTCTGAGATTTCAATCTGTGTGTAATGGACAGACTAAATTTGAATTATATCTGGGTTCTCGTGATGGTTTTGTGAAAACGGATATCAAGATAGAGTGAAATAGGCTGTGCACACCACTACTGCAAAAACCAATAACTCAACATTTCTTTGGACTTAACAGCATGAAGATGGCTCTTCTGCATTGAATTAGTTCAATTGATACCAGTCTTCAGTTAAGTAAGAAAAGTTACTTTAAAAAACCAGCTGGCACTCATTTTTAAAATTGTTCGTTCCATAGCATTTGTTGTTTAAATGAATTCAGCAAGCTGCCAGCCTTTTCCTTCATATTAATCCTTCCAAGTATTTGAGAGGTTGCCAGAGCATGTCCTGACATTACAAAATCATTAAATAAAGCATTTTCAGTAACCAGTGTTGGAGAGAAGAGAAAAGGAAATGGGAGGGGAAGGGAGGGGAGAGAAGGATAGGGAAGAAAGAGATGAAGAAAAAGAGAGAGCAGAAAGAAATGGACTGAAAGAGAGAAAGAGAATGAATGAATCAACTGCAAATCCTACAGAATCCCTTCTGTTCATATCTTTTTGTTTGCTTTATTTTCCTATCCCAATAACATTTGTTAAGAATGTGTTAATATATTTTAAAGGCTATTATTTCTTAATATAACTTCATAATAATAACGACTCTTCCTAAAGCCTTCCATTTTAATTTAGGAATGTTAAGGAAAGATGGATGTCCACAGCAGCAAAATGGACACAGGTGCCCTTTAAAAGAACCAGGAACCATCTCTTCAGCGCACCAGGCTGAGTCACAGCTGCTCTTTGCTTAGCACGCTGATCGGGGTACAAAGTGATGACTCTCTGGATGAACTTTTCAGGCAGAAGGTCATTCTGTGGGAGATGCAGAAATGACAAAAGGTCAGCAATTCTGTTAGCTTCGCGGTTAAGTTTTCCACGGTCTTTCTTGTTAAGTAGATTATAGTGCTTGTTTTCTTCATTATCCAATTAAAGCATGAAAAACAAATGCTCCTTAATCAACAGAGACAGATGAAATATTCCCAAAACCCTTTTTTGGAAGAATATATTGAAAAAAAGAAGCTAATGGAGAAACATGCAGGACTAAATACAACATGTAAATTGGTAGCTTATAAATCCCCTGTCGTCGCCCTGATTGTCGGATTAATGGCTTTCCTCTTTAGATTTCACTGAAATAATTTTAATTCTTGCCCACCAAGCTGTGAAAAGCTGAGAGTATAGGAAGTAAATAACTTTTTCAACTGGTTTGATGTTAGTTCTCATATCTAACATACGACCACTCACCTTTGCTCTTGGTAAACAAGCAGCAGCAGATAAACAATGGGTAGCAGAGTTTTCATAGCTACTTCTGTGTTTCCAAGCTTGAGTTGTTTGGGATTTTTTGTGTTTATATTTAAGCAGTTAGACACATATATTAAAGTATCAACTGGCTTTTGCTTGCAGGAGTAAGACATGGTATTCAAATGTCAATTTTACTCTCCACATCACATCATTTTTATGAGGAGATGATTCTTTCCCCTCATTTTAGGAGTTTAAGGATTTGTCCCAAGATTTAACTTAAAAATAATGTAAATAATTGATTATGAGAAAAATTATTAACAGTTGCAGCTCTTATGTAAGAATCTTACAAAAATCTTTTGTATCTAGTTAACTATTATTCAATAATGGCAACAATAGAAATTATTTTCCCAAGAGGTTTATGACTAATTTTATAACAGTTCCTGCTCACTTTCCTGTTATTTCAGTAAACTCTTCTATAAAATAAAAATATTTGGCTGGATAATTTTCAAGATTAATTTTGCTACTAAAATATGTTTCTAATGTTTATATGGTTTAAATAAACCATATGTGTTTATTTATATTCTTCCTTAACCTACTGGCCTCCTTTAAGTGGCATCTGAAGCAAGATTTCTCTTCAACATTTATAATGTTTCATAATCTCTTCTTCCTATAATTATATTCCCACATTTTCAATGACATTATCCATTTCCATCTCTTTGGCATGAAGCATATATCCTGTTGATGATCCATAATTAGGTCAAACCATCGATGAGTTTTCATTACTTAAAATGTCTCTCTCCATTGAGGCAAAGGTTTATTGACTCCATTCTACATTTGCCAAAGAAGAAACATTCACGCTTCAGAAGGTGCAGCGGAGGGCATCCACAGCGTTCACAGCCATATGGAGACACTGTCATGTAAACACAGACAAAAAAGTCTAAGAGTCAACTTGAAAAGAATGTTTGCTGAGTGGTTACATTTGATAATTTGTTAAAAGTAAAATAACTAAAGTAGCTAATCACAGGATGAGTACAAAAGGAACACAACTCTTCTGTAACAAGAGTGTAACATTAAAAGGAAACCACCTCACTAAACCCCATTAAGTGTACCCCCATGTAGTTCTCATTTCCACAGTCAGAGATCTCAAGCATCCTTTAGTTACTTCTTGATCAATATCAAACCAGTTACATTAGAAATACAAGGCAGTGCTGAAGTTCAAAACAGGTAAATGTAGAGTAACTAAAAGGCAGAATTGTGTTACAAAATTCAGTCTAATACTTTGCTTCCAAGTTGTGGTATTGTGAATACCATAGTCTGTCTCCCAATATTTGTTCTCCCTTTATTTCAAAGTAATTGAATCTCATTTTTTTTTTTGTTTTGTAAATCAGATCTCCATTTTCCCGTCTTCCTTGCTGCTTGGTGTGATTATGTTCTGGTCAATGAGATGTGCAGGGAAATTTCCTCTGGCAGCCTGTGGCCACTCTGCGTCTCTTCCTCCTTCTTTCTGCCTGGAACACAGATGTGATGGCTATACCATGTGGATAAGGGTACACATGTGTTAAGGTAGCCTGCCAATGTGAGACAAGGCTGAGTCCCTGGGCCCACTATGAATCAGTCCTGCCATCTCCACTGTCCCTTGCCCACCTCTAGACTTTACAAGAAAGCAATAAAATTCCATCTTATTTAAGTCATTGATATTCTAGAACTCTGTGATATGTAGTAAAACCCAGTCTCAACAAATATCACTGGCAAGTCAAAATATAAATGAAATTCTGTAAAAAGTTTATGTAAAGTCATGTGTGACACATCCAAAAACGAGCTCTGAAAATAGCTAGAAAGAATTCTAGTATGTTCCTAAACTGCAGGGTTGAGAGCCAGCAGCTCAACTCTGTCATCCACAAACCAATCCTGTGTTCTTAATTGGGGATATAATCCTGTTCCAGATCATTATAGGTTTGACTTTCTATTTTACTTCATATTAGCTTCTGAGGACTTTACACAGAGCAGCCTAGTAGCTAAGCCTAATAACCCAGAGCTACCAAAATATCCAAAAGTGATTCTAATCAAGACTTTTCCATGATTACCTCGGATAATGTCTCTTTTCCTGGTGATCCTACATATCAATAAAACACCTGTGAGAAACTGCTTCTCCTGGATATGGGGAGTAAAAATTTGACTGATATATTTCATCGATTAAATCATTCCAATTCAATGTCTTACTGACAATGTTAGCAGATGTTCTGCTGTATTTTCAAAGGGGGTAAATATTCAAAGGTGATGGAATTTTCCACCACTTCTGTATCAATTTGGATCTGTCCAAGTCTTACTGTTGGTCATTGTTTTCCATTTCCTAAATGTCTCAGAGATTTCCACTGTTTATATTGATTTCCTTTGTTCACCTAAGGGATTTTAAGAAAAATAAAAACAGTCCACAATAATTGAAAAGCTCTCTTCCTCATAACCTCCTATCATTCTCTCTCAGGTTGACAGAGAAAAGAAGCCTCCATGAATATTTCAGGATATCCTTTCTTCCCCTAGTTTTTCCTTCTTGCACGTGGAAGGCACCTTCCTAACTTAGTGTTGTCTGTATAAATCACACTTTGTTCACTGGCATACAGTGAAGCAAGATGTTTTCTTATTTCTCCTTTCGGGTAACTGCATCTCATTTATTGCCTGGCAGTCCCTAATTAAAGTTTTTTTTTTTCATTTTTATCTTCTACAGTAATGACATTGTCCATTTCCAGTGTCAAAAACTTACTTGCCTAACTTGGCATTAATTTATGATCTTAGTTCACTGTGTGCCATAGACAATCATTAGGAATCACAGTGAAATCACTAGGAATTCCAGTACGTCTTTGCTGTGTTAGTCAATGTGTCTGGGTGTGTCCATGTTTCTGTAAAGAACTTTATGGTCTTCTTTTTCATTTTTAAGACAGAAAAGTGCATTCTATGCATATGCATTCCAAGCTTTACAGAGGAAAGCAAGTTTTGTAAATTTTCCACATTATATTGACTTATCTGAATGTTATGCCCAATAAGCCCTAGAAAATGCAGTTTCTATTCTGCTTATCCTTAAATACCTACCAATGTATTTATGGATAATTGGCAAACCATTCATCAGGGGAACTGATCAACATAGGAAGCAAGAAAGAGATTGCTGTTCTTTTTTAATTTGCCTCTTTAATTTGTTCTTCTTTGATTTGGAGTAGCTTAAGTAGTGACACTTGAAACACAGAAAGCTATCATAGATCTACAAACAAAAATACACAGCACAGACAGTAGAGCCACAGTCCTAATTACACAATCTGTTTATCATACATATTATAATGCATATTCTTATTTTAGTAGTTTTTAGCTTTATTCTATTTTTGCCATTCATTTCAGGAGCTACCCCACATGTCACCTTCTACATGAAGAGTTCCCTTCGTTAAAGTGAAAAGACAGCCTACACAATAGGAAAAGATATTTGCAAATCATATATCCAATAAGTGATGTGAATTAGGTCATTCTTGTTACACCCAACTAAAACAGAGTCAAGAAGCCAGCGGGAGAAGCACTCAGGGAATGCAACAGCACTCTGAGAATGTAATTCTCTGCAAGCCTGGATGCTGAAATTGCCTGCTGTAACCTGAAACCAGTTTTATCTCATGACTGCTGAAACAACCTGCTGCAACTCTAAGACTGGTTTTACTGCCATCACTCACCAATGAGAGCTTGCCAGCTCCCCAAAACTTGACTAATGCCAAAGAACTTTCTGGAAAACAATACATAACATTTATCTTTTTTATAAACTCCCAATCTTCTCTTTGTTCTTCAGATACACTGAAGACCATCCTATCTGTATGTATGTCCCTCATTGCAATTCTTGTATCCCAAATAAAATGTTAAATTTAGAACTTCTTCTCTGTATTTTTATTTTGATTTCAACAGGCGTATGTATCTAAAATATTTAAGGACTCCTGCAAATCAACAATAAAAAGAAAAATAACACAATTTAAACATGGGCAAAGATTTTAATAGGTATTTCCCCAAGGAAGATATACAAATGGCTAGTGGGCATATAAAAAGATGCTCAACATCATTCGTTATTAGGGAAATCAAGTACCAATGACTTCATATCAACTAGGGTGGCAAAAGTAAAAAATAGGGACAATAACAAGTATTAGAAAGGATGTGAGTCATTGGAACCCTCAAACATAGCTAGTGGGAAAGTAAAATAGGGCAGTCACTTCGGAAAACAATTTTGCAGTTTCTCAGGGAGTTAAACATAGAGTTACCATATGACCCAACAATTCACTTCTAAGTATTATCCAAGAGACATGAAAATATATGTCCATATAAACCCACACGTGAATGTGTATAGCAGCATTATTTAGAATAACCAAAAAAGTAGAAATGTCCATCAAATGATGAATGGATAAACAAACATGGTATATTCATATAATGGAGTATTATTCAGCTATACAAAGGAACCAAGTACTGATACTAGAAACAACATGGGTGAACATTAAAAACATTATGCTAAGTAAAAAAGAGCCAGACACAAACACATTTTGTGATTTAATTTTTATGAAATGTCCAGAATAGGCAAACCTATAGAGACAGGAAGTAGATTCAAGACAAAAAGTAGAAATCTAAAGACACAAGTAGAGACTGAAAGTAGGTTGCCAGAAACCTGGGAAGAGGGAAAAGGAGATGACTGCTAATGGGAACAGGATTTCTTCTCAGGATTGTGGTAGTGTTCTATTATCAGATAGTGGTGATGGTTGTACAATTTTGTGAATATATTGAAAACCCTGAGCTGTAAACTTTAAACTAAAAAATGTATATTTAAAAACCTGTGGCTGGGTGTAACGGCTCATGCCTGTAATCTCAGAACTTTGCATGGCTAAGGCGAGAAGATCACATGAGCCCAGGAGTTCAAGGCCAGCCTGAGCTGTAACAAAGTAAGACCCCATCGCTACAAAAAATTAAAAAATTAGCCAGGCATGGTGGCATTCACCTATAGTCCCAGCCACTCAGTAGGATTGCCACTTGAACCCAGGAATTCTAAGCTGTGTGAGCTATGATTGTACCACTGCCCCCTCAACCTGGGCAACAGAGCAAGACCCTGTCTCTAAAGAAAAAAAAAAATTGCCATCTCACTAGTTAGAGACATTCGATCTAAGATGGGTGTGAGATACAGGATTGAAAGAGAAAAGTAATCTGATAGATATGGTACCATGTCATCTGAAGCAAAAGGAAAAGGAAATCTTCCCAGTTGCCTTTCCCTTCCTTCTCAAGCCCTATTCTTTCTGAGGCTGCAGTGGGAAACGGAAAGCAGTATATGAGAGGCAAGTGTGATCAAGTATATAGCAAACTGCATCTAATAACAGTATATTACACCCAGATCTGTCACTCCAGGCTGGTCATGACAGTTATAGAAAGCAAGAGGAAAGGGAAGAGGGGAGGTATTTGCTACCTGATATTAATAAAGATCTAAGGCTCATACAACATATCGTCCCATAGACATTTCATCCCAGTCTACCCAAACAAAATTTTGCCAGAAGTCAGACAAAACCACTCCATATGCTCTTGCTCTCATGACCCCTACAGTGGGATGCCTTGAACTAGACTTCAGCATACACCCTTTGTTTTTTGAGATGGAGTCTCTCTCTCTGTCACCCAGGTTGGAGTGCAGTGGCACGATCTTGGCTCACTGCAATCTCCGCCTGCTGGGTTCAAGTGATTCTCCTGCCTCAGCCCCCCAAATCACTGGGATTACAGGTGCCCACCACCATGCCCGGTTAAGTTTTTGTATTTTTCAGTAGAGACAGGTTTTTGCCATGTTGGCCAGGCTGGTCTTAAACTCCTGACCTCAGGTGATCCACCTACCTCGGCCTCCCAAAATGCTGGGATTACAGGCTTGAGTCACAGCACCCGGCCAGCATACGCTCTTGAGTTCTATATTTTGAGGTTACAAGAGACCCTCTCACTCTCCTCTCAGCTATTAAGGCCTGATTGACATTATTCCATAGAGTAACTAGTTCTAGGCTGCTTTTCTTTGTATCTAATAGACCTATGGGTCTTGCAGGGAAAAAAATGGAGAACAGTGCTGAGCAGCCAGGGACGAGCAGGCAGCTAACTGTGCTGAATGTAGAGCTGGAACCACAACCGGTAGTTACCAGTGTCTCACCCTCCTGCAGGCAGGATGCCTGAACCTGACCCACCACCTGCATAGTCTCTATAGCCACTCCTACACTCTGAGCTGTAGACTGGAAATGGTTCCAGCCCACGTGCTTTTGTCACAGATGCTGCTATATATGGACATGCTGAGCTCTTTCCATTTAGGTAGCAAAAAATGCTGATCTTAATTTTTAATGATCTACGACAAGGAAAGAAATTTCCATCTTATATTTCACAGCTTGGAAACTTTACTGGACAGCCTCGCCTTTGAGACAAGCAGTCTTGACTCTGCTTCCCTTGGACAACTTATATTATTAACCTCTTTGAACCTCAGATATCTCCTCTGTAAAATAATAATATCTAATTCAAAAAGTTGTTGTGTGGATTAAATGAAGACAACTACTACAGAGTATCTAACGCATGTGCTAGCTCATCATCTACTTAGAATGAGGGTCACCATTATTATTGATGTTCTTATTTATTTATTTATTTATTTATTTAGAGACACAGTCTCATTCACTCTATTGCCCAGGATGGAGTGCAGTGGCTCCATCCTGGCTCATTGCAACCTCCACCTCTTGGGCTCAAGCAATTCTCCTGCCTCAGCCTCCCAAGTAGCTGGAACTACAGGTTCGCGCCACCACTCCTGGCTGATTTTTTTCATTTCTAGTAGAGATGAGGTTTCACCATGTTGGCCAGGCTGGTCTCAAACTCCTGACCTCAGGTGATCTGCCTGCCTCAGCCTCTCAAAGTGCTGGGATTATAGGCATGAGCCACCATGCCTGGCCTTGTTTATTTTTAGCTGCAAAGTTTCCTAGAGGGAGGAAGGCCAATTCACTAAAAATCAATTCTTGAAATAATCAACTTACAGAATAACCAAAATTTACAAACTGCCATTTTCAGCAGTTTCTATAAACATATTTTAGTTTTGATAACATGTAATCAAATACATTATTTTGTATATTAGCTAAATTAAACTTAATTGGCTACCTTGATAAAATATTCCTAATAGAATGTTAAAATGGTGAGAAATCCTATATTTACTGAAAATGTCACACTGAACCACTTTTTCCATCCAATATTTTGGCATTCAATATGTGACTATTGATTTTTTCAAGTGCTTTATTTATTTATTTATTTATTTATGAGACAAAGTCTCACTCTGTCACCCAGGCTGGAGTGCAGTGGCATGATCTCTGCTCACTACAACCTCTGCTTCCCGGGTTCAAGCGATTCTCTTGCCTCGGTCTCCTGAGTAGCTGGGACTACAGGCGCGAGCCACCATACCCAGCTAATTTTTTGTATTTTTAGTAGAGACGGTGTTTCGCGGTGTTATAATGAAATTATTTTTTCCAAAATGTAAACATTCAGCATATGCTGAAGTCTAGTTCAAGGCATCCCGCTGTAGGGGTCATGAGAGCAAGAGCACATTTAGTATTATTTCACCAATTCTTCAAATGGCATAGCAGCCTTAATTTACATTTTTAGCAAGAGATTTCTAATTTAACTAAGTTAAATGTTAATATGCAGATGATTCAAATTTCAATTAAAATTAAATTGAATGTTTATTAAATTAAAAATTTAAATTTAAAGAGCATATGATATAAATCAGAATTAACCAGGGGTCCTAATCAAAGATAAAATCCTGGCATTTTGGTTTCTAACAAATTCATAAACAGAAAGATGGGTAGCAGTGTGCAGAAAATTTCAGCTTAAAAATATAACCCTGCTCAAATCAGTGGAAAGGAAGCAAGGATGTTTAGAAGGGAATAGTTTAATGGATGAGATGTCTTGTACATCAAAATAATTTGATATATACTCAGAATCAATGTAAAATTGTAAAGGAAATATTAAAAAGCTAGTTAGAAGTCTGAAAAGTACTAAAATTTAGACCCTAAGTGTTAACAAACTGAAAATTATGTTTATTATTTTGAAACAAAAATCAGTATAAACTGAAAATTTTTCATTTGACATGCTAATTATTGTTCGGAAAACTATGTTCAGAAGAATATGTTTAATCATCATAACTATTATAGACATTTTTCTAAAAGTTGTTAAGCCATCTTTTTAAAACTATTCATTCTCATCAGATTAATCCAGGACCTTTGTAAGAGAAGGAAAATCCATGATTTAAAATGCCTCTCCTTTGTTCTTCCTGCACCAGTTGGAGGGAGATGAACTGCAAGCACCATTCCAGGCTAAAATAACAGGACCTCATTCCAACCAAAACTGTCCAGATGCTGCTTGATTATAGGAAGTTCTACCCACATCTCACCAGCCACCAAAACAGAATGACTTTCGTGCCTCATGAAAGCCATGAGACCCCTCTAGGGTCTGACTCTCAGGACTTCCACCTCTATTTCCAGGAAGTAGAACAAAGTTCCAGAAAAGAAAGGCAACTGCTGAGTTGAGCCTTGTCCAGTAATTACTCCTAGTTCCCAGTTAGGAAATGAGGAAAACAAGTAATTCACCAAGTGATCGAAATGGCCAAGAATGAAATTTACTGATTTACAAAAAAAAAAAAAACATTAAAATGGTTTTAACAGCCTTAAAAGCAATGACTTAACAACGTTGAGAAAAATGTCCCAATATAGTTACTAATGATTAAACATACTACTCTGAGTTTAATGTAGTGTCCTTGCCATGAGAGGTCTCTGTGGTGAGCGGGCTTGGCCCACACGTTCCACAGGTACAAGTGAAAGACAAAAGCTAAAACACAAGAATCAGAATC